CAAAATGGACATAAGACTTTGATTGTCACAGATCATTGTCACTTCGATAAATATAGCCTCAAGATCGGGCCGTGATAACACTGAAAGAACCCAATCCGCATGTTTGTTTCTTCTATCCGAGCTTAACGGACAAACACATGAAAAGACTTAAGAGCGTATAACATACTAAAGCATAAATCAGTGCCGGTAAAAAAAGTAAAACAGAATTGTATGCATATGCTTTAATATCTTCAGTGCATTTCTTTCTCCACATTATTTCAGATTTCTAAAGATTTCAATTAAGATATTACACCTGACTGCATTATCTTTTCTCAACAATTCAATCTTGGTGTCGTCTTTGCTCCTATATGATTTTGGCTTTTTTTTGTTTTTTTTCTATTTGTTTTTTTTTTAGCTTGTTTGTTTTTCACTTCAACCATGTGTGATAGTTTTACAATAAAAAAAAACTTCTCACTTCCTCATTAGTGATAGTTTTAGAATAAGACCTTGGAACTGCACAGGCTTGTTATTTATAAATGTAAACTTCCGGAAGAAGGCATTGTATACACCGGTCTCTAAATATCGGTCAGTAAGACCGGTGTACGCAATGGGAAGAAGGAGGAGTGACATTTGCATTGACCAATGAAAACATTTTACAAATCCCGCTCGTTGGATATGAATATTAATGAAGCTAACGACGGAAAATTGTTCAAATTCAGTTCAATTCTTTCGTTACTTTTTTTAGCAATTAATTTCTGTGTTCAATTAATTATTTTAATTATATTTTTTTGCAATTCACAATTTTGTTTTCTTTTTTTAATCATCTTTTTAAAGGCCCATTATGCCTAAGAAATTCTATCATTTTTATTTTATCAAAATTTCAAGTTTTGCAAAGGGTATAATCATATTGCATTATCATTTTGTATGGAAGTCAAAATACTACATTGTTAACATTTTAACCATCGATCATAAGACATTACTATACGTGTACTATAAAGTGCAACTTTAAATGTTTTTTTCAATTATTAGAAAAATAGAAAGAGGCATAACGTGCCTTTAACAAGACTGTTTTATTTAAATCTTTGTCGTTGGTATTTGCAAATATAGAATCTTAATCTTTTTAATTTCTTAAATCAAATTCAATGATTTTGTACATAATATCCAACAAAAACAAACAAACAAACACAACAACCCTGTTTGACTGTGATGCTGGAATACCCGTAAAACATTATACGTCTGTTATTAAAGTTACAAACTGGACCTTAGTAATGAAACACCATACTCGTTTAGTAAAGTGTATTTTACATAAAACATGCTAAACAAATGTTCAAGATATTGTTTTGCTACTTGGATTTTGATTTTCTTTTTTAATTAAATTACTCAGACGTCATCAACGTTAACTTTATGCCGTGGTTATTCATGACGCCATGATTTTTTGTCTGTCATGTTTACTTTAAAATATCTTTAAAAAAATATGGCTTGGCCAAGATTCAACAGTGTGGTATGACTTGTATCTAACTGTTATTTTTAATATTTTATAAACAAAACAATAAGTACTTAAAACTAAATGGTATTTGTTGAAAATATAAATATTTTCATAGGCCTATATTTAGACGCATACGACAAATCATCCGAGGACTTGAGTCCAGAATCATCGACAGTCACATTGAAAAACACAGGAACAGCTTTTTTATGGATACAAGGGAATTCAAGAAATTTCCAACTTGAATTCATATCAATTTGTTTCTTTTTGGCATAATTACTGGTATCCCGCAAGCCGAATACACTATTATTAGTTCATATACTACTTGTACCATTCCGGGTATAAAATGTGAACACTCCTTTGAAAATAGGCCATAGGTCCGTATTCAGAATCGATACTTACACTCACACTCAGTGAGTAAATCCCATATAATTGCCTAACTGTTAAGACAGCTCTCATCTTTCAATAAAGTGGTATTCAGGTTATAAAGTAAGTGTCGAGTGAACTCAGGAAAGTTGAGAATCTGTGAGATTAGGAGAGGACTACCTTGAGGTGTCCTCAATAAAATAATACTGAATACCACTAAGTTTTGAGTATTGATTTTGAATTAATTTCGTCCCAATATACATTTAAGTGCATCATATACGCGAACTGACAGTATTTTAGAAAATAAATGTTGAAGCGCATTTACCTTTCTCATTCTGACCAACCAGTCCGTAAACTTGAATTTTGCCAGAAAGGCCATGTTTTATTTGTAAACAATGCACTCAGAATTGGTATCTATTTCCTAAGTATAGACAGCTGCATACGGTGGCACAGATGTGACATTTGCGTGTTTTTATTTATCTTTTTCGCCTGAAATACTATTTCGTGACCACGAAATAATTAAGTGGTGCGCACGAGATTTATTATCTCGTGGCCACAAGATACTCTGTCGCAGCCACGGGTTACTAAGTCGTGGCCACGAGATAATAAAGGGATGCGCACGAGATACTATGTTGTGGCCACGAGTTAATCAGTGGTGGGAACAAGATAACTAAGTCGTGCACGTGCACGAGATAATAAACCAATCAGATTATGCTATGTATATGATTTTTTTTAAACTTTAAACTTAAATTCCAGTTTAAAGTTTAACATGCATCATTCATCTTTGAAATTACTGAAGATATTCACTTTAAACTTGAAACATGTCTTTATGATTATATTAGAAAGTCACCTTCCAAGGCCCATAAATCAGATATTAATTTTGACAAAGTTATAGCCCTTTCTTGGACAATCCTGTGATAGAATTGGTCAGTTTGTAATTCAACGGCCTGATAACCTTGTTTATACGATATCTTGAGAATGAATAAGTTCTGGTTTATTTAATTTGGCAGGGACATTGCCCATAACCAGTAAATAGCCTTTAAGGATGTTTGAGGTCAATGACACTTCATGTAAAATCCTTGTCTGATGAATTATTTTGAAGAAAAAAGCCATGATTTATATTTACCTTTATACGACGCGGTCCGTTGCTACGAAAAATTGACAGGAAGCAGTATTTTCTCACGCATGCGCAATCTGCGTAGGACAAAAAAGCGTTACCCTACAATAGAAATGTAGTAGAAGGTCGTTGATTATTCCGAGTTAGTTTAAGGTAAGAATTAGAAAATCATATAAAATAGATTTTTACACAAGCATGAAAGATACATTTATAGCTTTGTGGCCAAATTGCTACAAAAAGGCACGGAAAAGACGATTGTTTAAGAATACCCCCTTACGATCACGGACATGACAATGAGATAATTGTTGTAAAAAATGTCGAAATATATATAAAACAAAATAGAGAAGTCAATTTAATTGTTGTTCAAATTGTTCTTATAAAAACTAAAGAAATTTTTAATTTCATAATTTTATTTTATATAATTTGATAGAGGTGTATTAATTATTATTCATAAAATAAGTCAGAACATGTGATAATTAATGTATTTTTAGTTTTCAGCTTACCTAATATTATCCTTTATCCGACTTGACTGTGATGCCAAGCAGAAGACACATAGATATATTTAAATAATGTTTCAAACTCTTGATAGGTTAAGATGGGTTATGAAATAACAAACAATTTATCCGGTTTCTCGTAAAACATTAAAATGCACGCCACGTACACTATTTAATTGTCACTTCACAAAATTAATAAACATTGATGGTATAATCTTAAAAAGTAACTTAAATTACGATAATTTCCTAATTTTATGTGATTAAATATGTCATAAAACTAAAACGTCCGGGTTGAATGATACTGAAAACTATTCACGTTTGAAGCACTGACCGCTTTAATTCATCAAACAAATCTGTTTTCTTGGTGACATAACCTATAATCACGTTTTCATAGCCTTCAAGTACGCTAAATGTAGTCTATCGTTATTGCGCTTTTGCCCTACGCAAAATGCGCATGCGCGAAATGCAACATCGGTTGCTATGGAAAAATCGTATTGTTAGAAGGTCTATAACCTAAAAAGATTTCAGTAGATGACACCTTATTATTTTTGAGGTCATTGGGTAAAAGATCAGGGTCACAATAACGCTGAAAGTAAAATCAATGTCCAATTAAAAAACTTGTATAAATGGCACTTTGACAGGCAGATATGAAGTTTGAGCATTATTGTTGTATTGCACATGTCTAGATAACCAGGAAAATTTGTACTAATAGTTTAATCTGATTTGTCAATTATCTCATGCGCACGACTTAGTAACTCTTGGGCACGACATAGTATCTCGCGCGCAGAACTGAATTATCTCATTGCCACGACTAAGTAGAATCTAACTCGTTTCATCGACGTAGTATCTCGTGGCCACAAAATAGTTTCTCGTGCACACCACTTAATTATATCATGGCCACGACTTAGTAACTCGTGACAACGGCAGAGTATCTTGTGCGCGCCACTGAATTATCTCGTGGCCACGACTTATTAACTCGTGGCCATGACATAGTATCTCATGCGCACGAGATAAATAAAAAACAAACACATGTGACATCTGTGCCACCGCAGCTGCATGCCTCCAACACAATATTACTTGAAAAAAAATGTACCATTGCGTAATTTAGATCAAGTCATACCGGCCAAAAAATTATATAGATCTAGGAGCTTCAAAATTCTGTTCATGATTCACTCGGTCATATCTAGCTCTAGATCTATATGTACAGATTTAATAGTGCATGGTGATATTGTATCTGAATCTCTATCTATACTGTGTAATGTTCACTGTTAGATTTACTACTTTTCGAAAACGCTACAACAAAGACGCTAAAATATAATTTTATATAAAAAATAAATCAAGTGAAAAACAAAAACAAAAAAATTGCAAATGTCACTTTTATGCCACCGACCGTACAATTCCGAAAGCTGAATTAGATCTTTTTATAAAAAGCGCGATACATTTTTGTTACGTCATATGTTAACAAAATTGTTTTCGTCATTAATCCATTTCCGAGAATAAACATTGTGATTTTTAGAACAAAAACTGATGGGCAGTTCTTGAATTATGAATTTGAATTATGAATTTATGATGTGTTTCGTTAACATATTTCATTTGCTAACAGATTTAACTTCGCATATGGAGCAATGATTCATCTGGATTAAAGTTCCTAAGATTAGGAGTCATCATGATTGTCATTCAGAAGTTTTAAAAGTCAGAAATAGGATTTATGGAACTGGATGGAGACTGGCAATGAAGGAATCTTCCGAATGTGAATTTGTCGTAGAAAGATCTGTTTCGAAATTCAACGGGATTCTATTCCGCTTAAAACATAAAAGTAAGTGCAATTTCTACTCCATGTGACTTGATGTTTTTGTTGCTTATTATTCACGTTTTTGAAGTTTTGCATCATATAGAGTCTTTCGCAACTAAGCTGTTAGATCTACATCTTGTAGATCCAGCTTTGTAAAATATACATGAATTTTGAAACGACCCCGAGAACCTCAAGTACATTTTAAAAAAATGACACGTGCTTTCTCTTGTTCATCTTCATATGAATGGCGTCGGAAAATAAACAACAAAGATTTGTCGTAGAGAAATCAAACTTTGCTTTTAGAAGAAAAGTAGAAACTTTAGTGGAAAAATATCTCGAGGGGAACTTTTTTTAATCTACAAAAACGGTTTTGGTTTAAGTACTTATCGTTTTGTTTATTCATACCAGGCACAGAATATCCCGCCATTTTGTTAACTATTAATATATCGTGACGTCACTATTAACCCAGTTTTTACGGGAAAACGTACTTTAATTTTGACGTCATGTAAACAAATAGAACGAATTTTTAATATAGTAAGGAAAAGATAACAGAAAATATAACACATAAAGATAGTTGAAACATTGAGATAAAAGAAATTGACAGAATTGAAGGTACACGAAGAAATATTTATTCTGTTTATAGTTCTACATGTAGATCTATTTGCTTATTATTAAAGTAAAAGTTTAAAAATAATTATTTTTTTTTAATGTTACAATGTTCTTTACTGTATTTCTCTCTATATTTTACAAATTCGTTGTAGATATTTTATAATCCTGACTTGAAACCGACCTGAAAAATGATGCCAGAAGTAAAGAATATCTATTTAAAGGAACATTGTTTTTATTGAATGTACAGTAGATATTGATTTTTTAAAAAAAGGGAAAATGATCTTTTTTAAGTTTTAGATCTACTGTTAAGTAAAATAGAAATAATCTATCTAAATATATATTTTTTGCTTTGAAAAGTTATTTCATAAGAGAAAGAGAGAGATATTTTACACTATTAACAAGATTATATAGAGAGAGAGCGAAACTATTCCAATATTTGAGCCGCGTCACGACAAAACCAACATAATGGGTTTGCGACCAGCATGGATCCAGACAAGCTGCGCATCCGCGCAGTCTGATCAGGATCCATGCTGTTCGCTATCAGTTTCCCTACTTGTTATTGAGTTTGTAAGCGAACAGCATGGATCCTGATCAGACTGCGCGGATGCTGGTCGCAAACGCTCTAGATCTATGTTGGTTTTGTCGTGACGCGGCTCATTTTATGATGCTATTCTAAGGGAAGTTTTCCCGGGAAGAGGGTTATTCTTCAGGGGGTATTCGTGATTTAGAAAATGGGGCTTGGAATACTTTTTGGGATAGTGTGTGAACACTTTTTTACGGAATGAATCACATTTATCATAAATAATATAAAACTTTATCGGCTTTACAAAGTGGGGTATTTGCCTTTTGACAGCGTGCTATATTATTTTAATTTCACGATGACACTTTTTATAGAATAGATTGTAGAATGTTTATATTTCCGTTACGTACATTTAAATAACTTAAAATTTTAAATATAATTGAACTTTAAGAATTTTAAACTAATGTGCATGCCTACATAGTCATAATATATTATTACCCTTCCAGATTTTTTCCGCCTTTTTGATTGGATATTGATCACCCGAAAGAAATTGATATTACCGAGCCAGACGGGTAATATACACACTAAATTAACCCGTTGGTTACCCCACGTTCTAAACAACATGCGCTGTGGCGATGCGCGTACGATTTGATTTTACGCGATGTAAATTCCGATTTACAAGCACTTTTTAACTGTCAAATGATAAATATTTACCAAAATAGAGTAGTCATACATATTCTCATGAGTATTGAAAACAAATATGACATAGTGAAAGCTTGATATTAATTCCAAAAATGTGCGTTCAACAGACTACTCCTTTTCTCTTGTTCACATTCGTTAGGTTCGAAGGAAAATACGTCATGTATTTATGTGACGTCATGTAGTGGTGAAGGGGTACCTTAAAGGGACTCTTATTTCGACGTTTCATTTGAAGTAGCAATGATTTATTTTAAATCGTCTAAACTCGGCAGGGGAAGGGTAATAAAATTATTATTTTGGTTTTGGAGTGATATATGTGAATATATTACCTGTCAAGATTTTATATCACCCGAGCCGTTAGCAAGCGCCTGAGTGACCATGTTTATTGTAAACTACGGAGTGACTTTTTTAGTTATATTTTATAATAAAGTTTCCTTTTAAAAGGAAAGGCTTGCCCAGTTTTGCCATCATCCCATCCCTTTAAAAATGATTTTTTAAAAAAAAACCCTCCTAGATCAACTCTTTATGATAAAGAAATAATTATAAAAAAAATAAATTGACCTTGTATACCAGAATGTCAATCGCAGTTTGAACTATTATTATGTATATAAGAAAATTAAAAAAAAATGTTTATCTCTTTATAAATGCTTTTTCATTTTATACTTCCATACCATGTACAATATCTCTAAAATAATACATCTAATATTCATATATACAGCAATTAAAACAGCTTATAACTCTTTTTCAGAATCTAAATTGACAAAGAAGATAAACTTGCTATAAATTATCCGCTGGAGAAATGAAGACTTCGTTAATAAATCACATCTTCCTTGCAATGGTTTTTGTTATAAGCTTGAATCGTCAGTCGTGCATTGCCAAAGCCATTCCCTATTCACAAGGAAATGTAGAGATGCCAGCAACAGGTGCGATTTTTTTCTACAAATAGTTACTTATAAATATTGTTTCCAAACGAAGTTAAAGAGGGTATACTGGAGTCAGCTGGTGGTCAGTCGGTCGGTCGGCCCGTTGCAGATTTCTTGTCCGGGATATAGTTCTAAAACTAAAAGAGATATCAAGTTCAAATTGTGTAGGTAGATAGATCTTATTGAGTAGAAAAGCAGCCCAAAAAGAACCGTCACACTGCATTGCCTTATTTTGGAGTTATTGCCCCATATTTTACACTTCAAACTTTTTCCGGGACATAACTTTAAAGCGACAAGATGTATCAACTTGAAACTTTGTAGTTATATATAATCATTGAGTAGGAATGCACTGAAAAAGAATCGTAACTCTGCCTTCTTTAATTTATGAGTTATTGTCCTTTGTTTATTTAACAATTTGAACTTTGTTCGGGACATCAGTCTATAAACAAGCAACTTTGTGGGTAGACAGCTCACATTGAGGAAAAGTGCAGTGCAAAAGAACCATAACTCTGCCTTGCCTTATATTGGAGTTATTGCCCTTTGTTCACTTTTACACTTTGAACTTTGTTCGGGACATCACAATGTATCAACTAAAAACATTGTAGGCATATAAACTTACTGAGTAGTGCAGTGAATAAGAACCATGATCCTCATATCCCAAATTTTGGAGTTATTGCCCTTTGTCAATTTTTACACTTTGAATTTTGTCCTGGAAATTACCTGAGTACTATCAAAGGTATCAACTTGAAAATGTGTAGGTAGATAGATGTAACTGAGAGAAGTGCAGTGTGGAAGAACCGTTACCCTTTCTACCCTAATTTTGGAGTTATTGTCCTTTGTTCATTTTAATACTTTGAACTTTGTCCAGGATATAACATGAGAACTATGAAAGGTATCAACATGACACTATATAAATAGATAGAACTCACTGAGTAGAAGTACAGAAATATCAGGGAGAAAGAACGTATTGCCCTTAAAAGAAGTCAAGAAAACTTCAAATCCAAACTTTAATATATGTTAATAAATAAGTGATTTGATATTGGCCCTGTTATTTGTCCGAGGGCAGTCGTATTGGCCCAAGGCCGAAGGCCGAGGGCCAATACGACTGACCTGAGGACAAATAACAGGGCCAATATCAAATCACTTATTTATTGACAATTTTATTAAATAACTACATGTACTTTTAACTTATAATATTTCACATTTAATCCTCGGATATTTCTTCTTATTTTAATTCTAACATATTTTAATTATAACAAAGAACAACTGTGAAAATTACTACATTATATCAGTTTGTTTGGAAAAACTACATTTTGTAACTTATATTGTGCATGTACAACAAAATGTCAGACTGTGAATGTTTAGAAACTAAGACTATTTTGTTTTATTTGTACAACCTGTCGGCGTCTACACATAGACCGAGTTAAAACAAAATGGCTGCCATTTTCCAGTTTCTTGCAGAAATCTATATCATTTTTTGGCCCTGCTTTATTAGCCAATCAAATTACTCCAAATGCGGGCTTTATATCTATATCACTTTTCGGCCCGGGGCCGAAAAAGTGATATAGATATTGGCCCTGTTTTAAGGCAGGTCATCGTGTTATTGAACGTGGCAGGTGCTTTTTTATAGGACTTATAACGTGTAGTTATTTAATAATTTATTTTATTGATGTAGGACAAAAAATTCACAAACATTTGAAAAATATCTGTAAAAAACTGCATTCTGCTTATCATCATCCTACGTGCAAAATTATTTAATAAAAACACGTTTTAATACACTTGTTACTATATATAGTAACAAAATTGCCTATGATTTCAACTGATTTTGAGTGCCACGTGACCTATTATGAGTTTGCGGCCCGGGGCCGAGAACTAGTTATCAGCCCGTAGAACATGCGCACGTGCACAAACTGAAACAATGACGTCATATTTTACGTCATCAAACAGTTAACTGTAAAAGTGAAAGTAGGTTGTCAGCACGAATTGCTTTATTCTTATTATGAGAGCTTAAGCGTTTTTAGTAGAAACACATTTTTGTTACTATTGAAATTTGATGAAATAATACGACAAATTTATTCCGAAAAAAAAGAAAGAAAATAAAACTTGATTCTAGATTCTACTGCTTTGAACACAAACAGTAAACATCTCTGTACAGAACAGTAGAATAGTAGACAAGAATGTCAACGAAAGAACTTTGTTGTTGTAGATCTATTTACTATTAGATCTACCAAGTGTATTAAAGATATTAATACACGTCAGAGTAGGACCGGGAGGTGATAATCGGCCCTGAATAAATAATGGCCCTCGGGCTAAAGCCCTCTGGTCCATTATTCATTTTGCGGGCCGATTATCACCTTCTGGCCCTACTCTGCCGTGTATTAATCTCTTATTCTGACAAGCACGCGCGCGTGTGTGGGGGGGGGGGGGGGTATTCGGCACTTGTTACAATTTCTAGTTTTTATTTGTTTGGGTAACACTGAAAACAGCATTGCTGGCACTACAAAAAAACAAATTGGTTTATAATCTCTCAACCTTCACTGTTTCACTGTAGCCGAACTATATCTGAATGAGGATGAAAAGAAAATCATAACTAAATGGAATAACAGGCAGAAATAAATGCCATCATACGTAAATTTTGTTTCGTCGATGTCATCATACATCATGTTAAAAAATTATCAAAATTAGAGAAATTTAACAGAACTATATTTCAAAATTGATGACGTGACGTCATGATATGGTGACGTCACAAAGGAGAATGCGCGACGTTACGCGGCAAAATCAGTAATAAAATACTTAAAATCACTTAAAAAGTTAAAATGCATAAAATAAAATGAAAATTTATTTGTTTTGCATGAAAGATTGAAATATATTTCATTCGTGAACACCAGCTATCATATTGCATCTGGTGTTCAGTGAAATTATATTTCAATCTTACAGGCAAAACACACAAATATCCTCTATATATTTAATCAAAATGATACATTTATTGTTTTTATTAATATTTGTAAGAAATACTTATGGAAAATGTGCCCATTGTGCCATAGATTGATTCAATGTACATCCAAGACTTTTAGTATTAATTTTCAGTTAAAGTGAAGGTCGTAGCTACAGATAAAAGACAAAGAAGGTATATCAACCAGTTTCCTGACCAATTAGATGTTGACGTGTCAACAGATGAATTGCATGAACATTTTCAAAATCTAAAAAGAAATCATCACGTTCCGCATATTAAGTATGTTCACATGATGGAAAATGGAGCAGTTAAAAAGTTCAGATTTGAAAGAAAAGAGGTAATTCATTATTTTGTTGCAATATCTTCAGTCACTTATACGTAACTTTTTTTATGCTCCCCGAAAAATTTCGGGGGAGCATATAGTCGTCGGGTTGTCCGTCCGTCCGTCTGTCCGTCCGTCCGTCCCAATTCGTGTCCGGCCCATAACTTAGTAATTTGAAGTCGGATTTTAAAACTATTTCACAGAAATGATCACCATATTGAGACGACGTGTCGCGCGCAACATTTGGGTCGCTACCTTGAAGGTCAAGGTCACAGCATGACCTTGCATCAAAATCGTGTCCGGTCCATAACTTCTTTATTTGAAGTAGGATTTTAAAAATATTTCACAGAAATGATCACCATATTGAGATGACGTGTGGCGCGCAACATTTGGGTCGATACCTTGAAGGTCAAGGTCACAGCATGACCTTGCATCAAAATCGTGTCCGGTCCATTACTTTGTTATTTGAAGTCGGATTTTAAAACTATTTCACAGAAATGATCACCATATTAAGACGACGTGTCGCGCCTAACATTTGGGTCGCTACCTTGAAGGTCAAGGTCACAGCATGACCTTGCATCAAAATCCTGTCTGGACCATAACTTCTTTATTTGAAGTCAGTTTTTAAAACTATCTCACAGAAATGATCACCATATTGAGACGACGTGTCGCGCCTAACATTTGGGTCGCTACCTTGAAGGTCAAGGTCACAGCATGACCTTGCAGCAAAATCCTGTCCAGCCCATAACTTCATTATTTGAAGTCAGATTTTAAAACTAATTCACAGAAATGATCACCATATTAAGACTTTGTGTCGCACGCAACATTTGGGTCGCTACTTTGAAGGTCAAGGTCACAGCATGACCTTGCAGCAAAATCATGTCCAGCCCATAACTTCGTTATTTGAAGTCGGATTTTAAAACTATCTCACAGAAATGATCACCATATTAAGACAACGTGTCGCGCCAAACATTTGGGTCGCTACTTTGAAGGTCAAGGTCACAGCATGACCTTGCAGCAAAATCTTGTATGGCCCATAACTTTGTTATTTGAAGTCAGATTTTAAAAATATTTTACAGAAATGATCACAATATTGAGATGATGTGCTGCGCGCAACATTTGGGTTGCTATCTTGAAGGTCAAGGTCACAGCATGACCTTGCAGCAAAATCGCGTTCGGCCAGTAACTTCATTCCTTGAACATGTTGAAGTCGGATTTAACAACTATTTCACAGGGATGATCACCATATTGAATCGACGTGTCACATGCAACATTTGGGGTGCTACCTTGAAGGTCAAGGTCACAGCATGACCTTGCAGCAAAATCGTGTCTAGCCCATAACTTCCTTATTTGAAGTCTGATTTTACAACTATTTCATTGAAATGATCACCATATTGAGACAATGTGTCGTGCACAGCATTTGGGTTGTTTTTACACTTTGAACTTTGTCTGTGACATAACTCTGACACTACAAGAGGTTTACCTTCATGTGTCCAAAACCCATTCGGGGAGCATCACCCGGTTCAACCGGCTCTTGTTTTCTAATGTCTTTGTTTATGAAAACAAGGGATACAGGTTTGCTTCTTTAAAAAGAAGCATGCGAGAGGTCGTCTTTTTTGCAGCTGTGGAAAATTTGTTTCGAAAATATTTGAAGATATTTTTACTTAAAAGGCACAATTAATGTTTATGACTTACAATTATTTAATTAAATAGAATTAATCATATATATCAAATATTAAAATGACCTTTTGTTCGTTTGAGTGAAATATGGAATATAATTTCACGTTACATGATAAAAGATGATTCAAGAGCTGGAACGTCGATTAAAATAAGTGGCATTTTATCATGTTGAGTGGAAATATAAGCCATCTTATTCTTTCACGAAAAGCGCAAAAGTAACCTTTTTATTTAATTGCATTTTTAAAAAATGGTTACAAATCCCCTTGCTAGCAAATCAACTGCAATTGTACAGCGCGCAGTAATATAAAAATATGGCATGTTAAACGTTGCAATATTCAATAAATTAAATTTGTGTTCTATATCCAATATTTATATTGTATACATTGTAAATATTATATGCTATACCATTATTATATTTATTCAATCCTGCTGAATATTTGTTCATCATAAAAATATTTGTGTGCGATAAGTTTCTTTATGTATGTTCTATATTTAAGAAATAACATCGGCCTGAGAGGTGTATATCGGCTATTTAACACCGGTTTGGAGTTTTGATGCGTAAGAATTGACCACGAAGGCCGTAGGCCTGAGTGGTTAATTTTGTCGCATCAAAACGACAATACCGGTGTTAAATAGCCGATATACACCTCTCAGGCCGATGTTATTTTGATTCTAACACGATGAAATAAGGAAAATCACTAATGTTATTTTTCAAGCGGAAATAACTTCCGGTGCCGAGTTTCGTATAACGCTGTTCGATTTTCGCACCCTACTGTTGCGAAGATATAGAAATTATTAAACAAAAGAAATAATAAGAAAAAAACGTTATTTTATCAAGTTTTCAACAATAAAAAAATACGTCGTATTGTGTTTACATCAGTGCCCAATTATCATTCTTGTCTGTATGAAATAAGTCAGCTTGTTTATGAATGAGTTGTTTAACTTTACTTAGGATGACGTCATTACGCTGCTTACGGATTGGCGCCGTTTTGTCAAAATATTTATTAACTGATGTGGATCTTATATGTGGCGTTAGTGTATGTGAGATATTATTTCGGTATTGTATGAAAAGAAAACATTAAACGAACTGAAAATATAAATAAAAATGTTTTTTATTGTTGCTTTAAAATGCTTTGTAAAGTATACAATCGAGGGTAAAAACATAACAGCGCATATACAAGTAGTCCCTAACCGGTGTCTATTGGCAGTTTAACACCAGTTTTTTCCTTCTTTGTCTATAGTGACAAAATCACGTGAGTGTTAGAATTGAAAATATATATTGTATAGTTAAAAAAATTATTGTATAGATCTACTGAAAAAAATTTATTCGATAATTTGAATCATGGGACAGAACACTTAGCATACTAAGCCCCGCCTATAAAGTAAGCACGAATTTCTGATAAGGCGTTATCATCCTGATTAAACTAGACTAGTGTAGCGGAAATGATCAGCGTCCCTGTGACTGTCACTTGTAAATAACACCGTGTATATCCAGTAACGCCGGAGTGTGAAAATAACGCACGATTCGTGCAATAAGTAAGGCAAAATTGTGCAAATTATGGCGGATCATTCGTGAAAATGATGACTTGACCACCGTTTTGAGCGAGATTTTGGCTTTTTGACGGCTCTTATAAGTACAGCAATGCATATTATACCGTATAATTTCGATTTTCGGTAGGCAAGTGACTTTTACTAAACTTTTGGTGATATTGAAAATTGAAATAAGCTGATAAAATGTGATTCAAGTCGTTTTTATGAGGTCTCCGCAGCCGTATGCGGTTATTCCTTTTTTCCAGTTCGATTAAATAAAAATTATGTTGACCAGTTTACTTACCGCTTTGGAAATCCTGTCAGCTATCCGCCATTTATTGCACAATTCTGCGTTACTTATTGCACGAATCGTGCGTTATTTTCACATCCCGGTGTTACTGGATATACACAGTCGGTGAATAAGACATTTGATTTATCCTCCTTATAAGTGTATATGTAAAAATTGAAATAGATTTTAAAATCTTCAGGACATGCAATCGTATAATAATGGATTTTCATATGCCTAATAATTTAACCACGATATGAACCTATATGCGGGGATATCATGTAAGGTGCATTTACATAAAAATACACGGAACATAAATCACATCCTCTATATTAAACGAAAAAATACCAACAAGAAACATTAACAACTGAAAATGTTATGCCGTTAATGCAATGTACATGTAAAGCGACCCGGCGCACGGTATAACTTTAAAATTTGACGTTAACGACGTCGCAAGTGTATTGTCTTTAACGGAGCAGCTCGAAATAGGCCAATACGCGTTTCACATGTTAATTGCGGCTGATCAACTGCCTGTATAAGTCGGTGTAATAGACTGTATGATAATAAATGAGCTCTTGTAATGACGCAAACTTCCGTTCTTTCCTTCTGTAACTTGATTGCTGGAAAATTGCACATGAAATAAACTATTTTATCACATAAACCGCGGCGCAGGAGTGTAATAAAGCCATTTATCACACACCCGTGCCGTTTTCGCGACTCCGTAAACATGGTATTGCACGGCCGTGCATATATTTTGACGTGACGTCATTAGCGTTATACAAACATAGTATAAAGACGCGCTAAATGTTAGCGTTATACTACAAGTGCGTCAATAAAAAATGACTCTTATTTCACTTCAAACGGTCTTTATTTTGGGTATGTGATAAATAGAATATTAAATTCGTGTAAGTTCAGTACTGAATTTATTGCACTCGTTGAATAAAATAATATTATGCTCGCCAGAGGCTCGCATAATATAATTTTATTCAACTCGTGCAATAAATTCAGTATGAAACTTACACTCATTCAATATCCTCTATTTAATAAAAACGATATTCGCCCATTCTCAATAAATAAAGCATTTGAGGTTGAAAAATATTAAAAAATTGATGTTGTCATCGTCTCATTTTTTATCGCTGAAGTGAAAGTTTAGGGTATTTTGCAAGTTTGCCAGAAATATTTTGAACAAGAAACTATGATATAACAGGATGGCATTTATTTCGGTAATGACACTGTATTTCTTCGGTAACGTAGATTTCAGATTTAATAATGTAACATATTGGCTGCATATTAATAACAAATGTCTGTAAAATATATCAAAATCTGTAAATTCTCTATCTAGAGGGACTTTCTAACCCAGGAAAATTCAAAGAAGTTGGGTACCTTGCTAATTTTCAGTCAATTTCTTTAAAGTTAAATATTCGTAGAAAGCAAAAATAGTCAATTTTGGAAATGATTTTTTTATGTCTCCATTCAAGGGATGTATATCATATATAATATATGAGAGGTCGAATGCATA